TGTAATTAAATATGGCAGTTAGCTGTGCCATAAAATTTAGAGTTATATTGCTAAACTTCTAACTATAGATATTCTATTCTGGCTATATTTGAACAGAACTACTATAGTATATGCCAAACTCACCCTCAATGCTAGTGAACTGAAAGAGCAAATATACCTTCCTGAGCACCAAATTTATAATCACACTTATGAATAGAGTGCAGTGTTCTCTTTGCTTGTTAGTCTGCAAGAATCACATTGGAGTAATTTAGGATAGTTTTACTAAATGTATTAATGTAACTCTTGTTATGAGGATGGTGCTTGAATTTTAGGATTCTGTGCTTATAGTGCAAAAGGCTTCTTTGTGGTACAAGAGACAGGATTTTACTGGTAGTGATAATATAATAATGCCTTGTCTTTTTAAACACTGTATATTTTTCTAAATGTCTTCATAGCCAGAATTTATTTTGTCTTCACAATACCTCTGTGAAATAGGTGCCCTAATCTTATAAATGAGGAAATTGAGGCACAGAAAGATTGACCAACTGCCAAAGGCATACAACATTATTTTAAGATAAATCATCATTATTAGTTCAGTAGCTAACATTTATTGAGTGCTTACGATATGCTAGGCACTATTTTAAGCTTTTTACATGTATTAATTATTAAGAGTTAGGTCTGGATTTAGTTCTGGCTCTTCCTCTTATCAGCTTTTGACCTTGGGAACACTACCTAACCTTTCCAAGCCTTGGTTTCCTCATTTGGAACAAGGAAATAATGATAGTGCCTATCTCAAAGGGTGGTTGTATGGATTGAGATAATCCAAATGAATCTGTGTCTGGCATACAGTGAGGGCTTTGAAATCAGTTTACTATTGAAAAATAAGGTGTTAGTAGGCAATATTTAGTTCTAATTTTTAGCTTCTTGATGATTATCCTGTTAAAATCATTGTATTTTTCTTGAGTGTAGAATCATAGTAAATGCTGCTATATATACTTATCTTATAGAACAAAGTCCATGTTACAATAAGATCATAGCTCTGTATAGTGGCTATAGCTACCTCTTCCCTTTTGCTATCTCCCAATCACCTTTTGGTTCTAAGTCTTCTACTAATGGGAAGAAACCGAAGAGAATTAGGAAGTCATGAAGAGTTTCTTAGGTGTCCGTGTTCTAAAATCAATGGCAGGTCCTGTAGTCCACTGGGTTATGTTCATCCCAGAATCCTGTGGTATATCAGTTATTTGGAACCCAATGTGTTTTTATAGAAAGTATCCTTTTAAGCGAGGCACATAAATTCTTTTAATCCCTGATACAGTGGACATGGTGGATATATGCACTGAAAAACAGTAAAAACAAGCAAAAACTCCACAGTACTTTGGCAATGCCAATAATCAAAGTAATTAAAACAATAAAACTGAATATATATTGATCCTCACAAAGAAGTCTGGAGAGGATTCTGGGAAGGTGGTAGAGTAGCAAGCATCAAGAATCTGTCTCCCCACCTAGATAACAATTGCATCGGTAAAATCTGATGTAATTATTCAAGAACTCTGTAGTTATTGAAGATTTGTAACTGCCAGGAGAAAAAGCTTAGGTGTAAATTGCACTTAATTTGGATCATTTTCAACTTTTAACACAATAGCAGCTACCCATCATCTACTCCCAGCCATGTACAGTTTATATACATAGCTTGTAGGAGCCAGGGTAGGTCAAAAGGACCCTTTCCTCCAAATATCAGGGATTGTGCTTGGATCACTGATTGCTGCTTTTGATAACAGAGGTGCACACAAAGAGGTGGGCAACCACCGTTGTTGCAAGCCCCTTCTCCTCCAGCTGAAGTGACATCCAGGATATTTAAAGGGCTGTACTTTCTTTTTCCTCATTCATTTTTCTCCTCTTTCCCTTTTTGGGAGCCAGGAATTAAAGACTAGGACATTCAGTGACAATTGCATATATAGGAAAAATTAGAAAGTGACCACATGCACACAGGGAAAGGCTGAGAAAAGACCTGAGAATACCTTAGGTTTACACCTTAGGCTGATGGTTGGTGCCGAAACAGCCTACAACAATAAAAAAATAAAACTAACAAAATATAGCCAACATTGGGGAAAGGAGAGACTCTAATTTCCAGAGTTACACTAGATTTACTCCAATTTCTAAAGTTACATTAGACATTAGGTTCAAATGTCCAGTTTTCAACAACAAAAAAATCACAACGCAAAGAAATAAGAAAGTACGACCCATTCAAAGGATGAAAAAAAATCAATAGAAACTTCTCCTGAAAAAGACCTGATGGCAGATATATTACACAAAGACTTAAAACAACTCTTATAGGTGCTCAGAGAACTAAAGGAAGATGTGGAAAAAGTCGAGAAGGCTATGTATGAATAAAAGCAATATTAAGGAAGAGATAGAAAACATAGAAAGCAAACAAATAGAAAATCTGGATCTGAAAAGTACAACTAAAATGAAAAATTTAGTAGAAAGATTCAAAGTCTGATATGAACAGACAGAACAAAGAATCAGCAAAGCTGAAGATAGGACAATGAAATTCTCAAGTCTGAGTAACAGAAAGAGAACAGATTGAAGAAAATGAACAGAGCCTAAGGGATCTGTGGGACACCTCAAGTGGACTAACATACATATTGTGGGAATTATAGAAGGGGAAGAGAGAGAAAGGGGAAGAGAGAGAAAGGGGCAGAAAAAGTATTTGATGAAACACATGAATATAAACATCTAAGAAGCTCAACGTACTTCAAGTACGATTAACCTGCAACCTGGGAATGTACCCTGATCAGGAATCGAACCAGCGACCTTTTGGTGCATGGGACGACGCTCAACCAACTGAGCCACATGGGCCAGGGTAAAGATGGGAATCTTGAATAAAGCAAGAGAGAAGCAAATTGTTGTTGTATGTATGTTGTACATACAAGGGATCCTCAATAAGATTATTACCAAATTGCTCATCAGAAACTTTGGAGGCTAGCCAGCAGTGGACATACATATTGAAAGTGTTAAAAGATCCACAAAAAAAGTGTCAACCAAGAATCCTATATCAGAAAAACTGTCCTTAGAAAATGAGGAGAAATGAAAACATTCCCAGATAAACAAAAGCTGAGGGAGTTTATTACCACTAGCCGTGCCCTGTAAGAACTCTTCCTAAGAAAGGGAGTTCTGCAAGGTGAAACAAAAGAACACTATACAGTAACTTGAAGCCATATAGAGAAATAAAGATCTCACTAATGGTAAATACAAAGGGAAATGCTAAAACCTAGTACTATTATAACAAAGGTTTGTAACTGCACTTTTTGTTTTCTGATTTGGTATTTAAGAGACTAGTACATATAAAGGAAAAAAATAACACCTAAAAGCTAGTATTTTAACTTTGGTTTGTAACTTTGTTTTCTATATAATTTAAGAAGTGAATACTTTAAAAGATTTCTCTGTTTATGTTTTTGGGTACACTGCATAAAACTAGTTTTGTGACATCAGCAACTGAAAGGAGGATAGAGTTATAAAGAACCAGAGTGTTTGTATATTATTGATGTTAAGCTGGTGTACATTCAAATTGGACTGTTACAACTTTAGGATGCGAATTGTAATCCTCATGGTAACCACAAAGAAAATAGCTATAGAATTACTTAAATTAAATCAGATTAAGTAATTAATCAAATTACTTAAGTCAGAACTAAAAGTGGGGCCATCACTACTGATTTTGCCAAAGTAAAAAGGATTATTAGAGAGTACTATGAACAGTTGTACATTAATAAATTAAATAGCCTGGGTGAAATGGACAAATTCCTAGAAACACAAAACCTACCAAGACTAAATTACAAAGAAATAGAAAATCTGAATAGACCTATAACTAGTAAAGAGATTGAATCAGTAACCAAAAATCTCTTGACTAGAATAGGCCCAGCTTCACTGGTGAACTCTGCAAACATTTAAAGAAGAACTAATATCATTCCTCAAACTTTTCAAAATAATTGAAAATGAGGGAACACTTTTCTAATTCATTCTATGAAGCCAGCATTGCCCTGATACCATAGCCAGACAAGGACATTACAAGAAAAATACTGACCAGTATCCCTTATGCACATTGATTCAAAAATCCTCAACAGAATAATAGCAAACTGAATTCAGCCAAAGTGGGATTTTTCTTGCAAGGATTGTATAACATACAAAAATCAGTCAATATAATACACATTTATAGAAGGAAGATAAAAAACACATGATCATCTCAATTGGTGGAGAAAAAACATTTGACAAAATTCAGCACCTTATTATAAAAACAGTAAAATGCTAAGAATAGAAGGAAACTACCTTGACATAATAAAAGCCATATATGAAAAACCCACAGTGAACATCATACTCAATAGTGAAAGACTGAAAGCTTTTCCTGTGAGATCAGACACAAGACAAGGATGCCCACTTTCACCGCTTGTATTCAATATAGTATTGGCAGTTCAAGCCAGAGCAATTAGGCAAGAAAAAGAATAGAAGACATCTAAACTGGAAAGGAATACAGAGTGGGAGATTCTACAGAGTCAACTCTTTGTAAGGGTGATGGTGAGGTTTAAGAAAAGTGACTGGAGGTGGAGAATTAGCCTGCTACTGGCTAAAACAGGGTTTTAGAGCTGGACAGGAATATTGGAGGTGATTTAGTCTAATTTCTCATTTTATGGCTGAGGAGATAAGTATAGAGAAGTGGGTGATCCAAAGTCATAGCTCTAGTAGAGAAGCCAGAATCACTGGCTTCTAAAAGTCCTGATATTTCCAAACGTTATAGAACTCAAACTATTGCATTTTTACTTTTCCTTTTGAAAAGGCTATGCTAATGATAACATCTACACATCATATTAATTTAAAAAGTATATCTTATATATTAAATAATTTTAAATCAAATTTTAGACATTTGAATTTAAATAGATAATTTGAACTAAGTGCTGCCAGAAGTTTCAGAAGGAAAATTATTATTTTAAAAGAAATAAAAAATTCTTGTTGTGTTTTTTTTTTTTTAGGTTAAGTCATCAAACAAAGAAAACATGGTATTTTGAAGTATGATTAAACTCCTGATGCTGCAGCAGAGGCTAAGAATATTAATGGCCAGATCTAGGTAAGTTGAAGTTTACTTTAAACAAGAATTATTAAGTCCACAAATTATACTTTTTAAACAAGAGATTTTGATAATGTTGTCTTGTTTTAATTTTAAGTCTTCAGTTACCGTTTACTTTCACTATTATTTTATATTGGTTTCAGGTGTACAGCATAGTGGTTAGACAATCATATACTTTACAAAGTGTTCCTCCAGATATTTCCAGTATCAAACTGGCACCATACATAGTTATTACAATATTATTGACTATATATCCTGTGCTGTAATTTATATCCCCGTGACTATTTTGTAACTACCTGTTTGTACTTCTTAATCCCCTTCCTCTCTTTCTCCCAGTCCCCCCAACCTCCTCCCCTCTGGGAACCACCAGTTCACTCTCTGTGTCTGTGAATCTGTTTCAGTTTTATTTGTTCATTTATTTTGTTCTTTACATTCCACATATAAGTGAAATCATATGGTATTTGTCTTTCTCTGACTGACTTATTTCATTGAGCATAATACCCTCTAGGTTCATCCATGCTGTAGCAAATGGTAAAATTTCCTTCTTTTTTTTTTTTTAAATCCTCGCTTAAGGATATTTTCTCCATTGCTTTTCAGAGAGAGCGTAAGGGAGAGACAGACAGACAGGCAGGCAGACACTGATGTGAGAGAGACACATCGTTTGGTTGCCTTCTGCACTAACCCTGACCTGGGCCAGGGATCGAGCCTTAGACCGAGGTACATGCCGTTGGCTAGAATTGAACCCGGGACCCTTCAGTCTGCGGACAGACACTCTAACCACTGAGCCAATGGGGCTAGGGCAAGATTTATTCTTTTTATGGCTGAGTAATACTCCATTCTGTATATGTACCACAGCTTTTTTTTTTTTTTTAATGTATCTTTATTGATTTCAGAGAGAGGAAAGGAGAGGGACAGAGAGAGAGAGAAGCATCAATGATGAGGGAGTCATTGATTGTCTGCCTCCTGCATGCCCCCAACTGGGCATTGAGCCCACAACCCAGGCATGTGCCCTGACCAGGAATCGAATCCTAATCGCCTGGATCCTAGGTTGATGCTCAATCCCTGAGCCACACCCAGCCAGGCTATCACAGCTTTTTTATCCACTCATTTGTTGATGGACACTTGGGTTGCTTCCATATCTTGGCTACTGTAAATAACACTGCAGTGAACATAGGGATGCACATATTCTTTCAAATTAGTGATATGGGGTGCTTTTTTTAAAATGTGTTTTTATTGCTTTCAGAGAGAAGAAGGGAGAGAGAGAGAGAGAAACATCAATGATGAGAGAGAATCATTGATTGGCTGCCTCTTTGCACACTGGGGATAGAGCACACAACCCGGGCATGTGCCCTGACCAGGAATCAAACTGTGATCTGGTTCATGGGTTGATGCTCAACCACTGAGCCACACCTGCCAGGCTGATTTGGATTTCTTTAGCTAATCTCCAGAAGTGAAATCACTGGGTCATAAGGCAGTTCCATTTTTAATTTTTTGAGAAAACTCCATACTGTTTTCCATAGTGGCTGCAGAAAGCTACATTCCCACCAGCAGGACACAAAGATTCCCTTTTCTCCACATCCTCGCCAACACGTGTTTGTTGATTTATTGATGATGGCCATTCTGACAGATGTGAGGTAATATCTCATTGTGGTTTTAATATGCATTTCTCTGGCAATTAGTGACATTGAGCGTGTTTTCATATGTCTATTGGCCATATGTATGTCTTCTTTGGAGATATGCCTATTCAGGTCCTCTGCCCATTTTTTAATTAGATTGTTTGTGAGGTTTTTGGTGTTGAGTAGGTAGTATGAATTGTTTATAAATTTTAGATATTAGCCCCTTATCAGATGTATCGTGTTCTCCAACTTAGTAGGTTGTCTTTTTGTTTTGTTGATGGTTTCTTTTGCTGTGCAAAAGTTTTTAGTTTGGTGTAGTCCCATTTGTTTATTTTTTTCTTTTATTTTACTATATATATTTAAAAATATGTTTTTATTGATTTCAGAGTGGAAGGGAGCGGGAGAGAGACAGATAGAAACATCAGTGATGAGACAGAATTATTGATTGGCTGCCTCCTGCACGCTCCCTCCTGGGGATTGAGCACCCAACCTAGTCATGTGCCCTGACCAGGAATCGAACCATGATCTACTGGTTCATGGGTGGACACTCAACCACTGAACACTAGTTGGGCTATTTATTTTTTCTTTTGTTTCCCTTGCCTAAGGAGATATATCAGAAGAAATATTGCTAAGAGAAATGTTTGAGATTTTACAATTTGTTCTAAGATTTTTATGGTTTCAAGTCTTACATTTAAGTCTAATCCATTTTGAGTTTATTTTTGTATATGGTGTAAGAAGGTGGTGTCGTTTCTTTTTATTTCATGTATTTGTCCAATTTTCCCAGCACCATTTATTGAATAGGTTGTCTTTACTCCATTGTATGTTCTTGCCTTCTTTGTTGAATATTAATTGACCGTATAGTTGTGGGTTTATTTCTGGGTTCTCTCTTGTGTTCCATTGATCTACATGTCTGTTTTTACCATGCTATTTTGATTACTATGGCCTTGTCATATAGTTTGATATCAGGTAGTGTGATATCTGCAACTTTGTTCTTTCTCAGTGTTGCTGAGGCTTTTCTGTTTGTTTTGTTTTATAGTTTCATATAAATTTTCAATTATTTGTCCTGAAAATCTGAAAATAGTTCTATGAAATATAGCATTGGTATTTTAATAGGAATTGCATTTGGTCTATAGATTGTTTTGGGTGGTATGGACATTTTAACTATTTTAAGCCTTCCTATCTATGAACACGGTATATACTTCCATTCATTTGTATTTTCTTCAGTTTCTTTCTTCAGTATCTTATTATTTTTTGAGTACAGGTCTTTTACCTCCTTTTGGTTAAATTTATTCCTAGGTATTTTATTTATTTTTGATGCAATGTAAATGGGATTGCTTTTTTTAGTTTCCTTTAAAAAAAAAAAAAAGTCTTTATTGATTTTCAGAGAGAGGAAGGGAGAGGGAGAGAGAGAGATAGAAACATCAATGATGAGTCACTGATTGGCTGCCTTCTGCACGCCCCCTACTGGGGATTGAGCCTGCAACCCCGGTATGTGCCCTGACAAGGAATTGAACTGCAATCTCCTAGGTCATAGGTCGATGCTCAACTGCTGAGCTACACTGGCCAGGCTAGTTTCCCTTTTTGATAGTTCACTGTTGGTATATAAAAATGCAACCAATTTCTGAATATTAATTTTGTATCCTGCTACTTTACTGAATTCATTTATCAGTTCTAGTAGTTTCTTGGTGCAGTCTTTAGGGTTCTCTATATACAATATCATGCCATCTGCAAATAATGACAGTTTTACTTTTTTTTTTTTCCAATTTAGATGCCTTCTATTTCTTCTTGTTTGGTTGCTGTGGCTAGGACTTCCAGTCCTATATTGAATAAGAGTAGTGAAAGAAGACATTCCTGTTTTTTTTTCCGATCGTAAGGGAAACACTTTTAGTTTTTCTTCATTAAGTATGGTGCCAGCTGTGGGTTAGTCATATATCGCCTTTATTATGTTGAGGTATATTCTTCCCTCATTTCCCACTTTGCTGAGAGTTTTTATCATAAATGGGTGCTTTTTCTGTATCTCTTGATATGATCATGTGATTTTTATACTTTATTTTGTTTATGTGGTGTATCACATTAATTGATTTGCAGATATTGTACCAGCCTTGCATCCCAGGAAGAAATCCCACTTGATCATAGTGTGTGATCTCTCTAGTGCGTTGCTGGATTTGGATTGCTAATATTTTGAGAATATGTTTACCTGGTATATTGGCCTATAATTTTCTTTCTTTGTAGTGTTTTTATCTGGTTTTGGAATTAGGATGATGCTGGCGGCATAAATTGAGTTTGGGAATCTTCCCTCCTCGTGAACTTTTTGGAATAGTTTGAGAAGGATCACTGTTCTTTTTTCAATGTTTGGTAATACTCCCCTGTGAAGCCATCAGGTCCAGGACTTTTGTTTGCTGGGAATTTTTTAAATTATTGCTTTAGTTTCATTAGTTGTAGTCACTGTGTTCTGATTTTTTCTTTTTCTTTTTTTTTTTTTAAATATATCTGTATTGATTTCAGAGAGAGGAAAGGAGAGGGAGAGAGAGATAGAAACATCAATGATGAGAGAGTCATTGATCGAGCCCGCAACCCGGGCATGTGCCCAGACTGGAAATCGAACCCTGATCGCCTGGATGCCAGGTCGACGCTCAACCGCTGAGCCATGCCCGGCCGGGCTGATTTTTTCTTGATTCAGTTTTGGAAGACTGCATGTTTCTAGGAAGTTATCCATTTTTCCAGATTGTCTAGTTTGTAATATTTTCTTATAATCTTTTGTATTTCTGTGATTTCAGTTGTTACTTCTCTTTCATTTCTGATTTTTGGGTCCTCTCTCTTTGTTTCTTGATGAGCCTGGTTAAAGGTTTATCAATCTTTTTATCTTTTCAAAGAACCAGCTTTTGGTTTCATTGATCTTTGGTTTTGTCTTTTTAGTCTCTATTTTGTTTATTTTCACTCTGATGTTTACTTCCTTCCTTCTACTCATTTTGGACTTTGCTTGTTGTTCTTTTTCTAGCTTTTTTTTAGGTGTAAGGTTAGATTGTTTATTTAAGATTTTTCTTGCTTCTTGAGGTAGGCCTGTATTGCTATGAAAATCTCTATTAGGACTGCTTTCACTGTGTTCCATAGATTTTGAGTTATTGTGTGTTTACTTTCATTTGTTGTAAGGTAACTTTTGATATTTTCCTTAATCTAATTGTTATCCCATTCATTGTTTAGTGACATGTTATTTAGCCTCCATGTGTTTGTGTGTTTATCAGTTTTTTCTTAATAGATTTCTGGTTTTATACCATTGTGGTTGGAGGAGATGTTTGATATGATTTCAGTCTTCTTAAATTTATTGAGACTTGTTTTGTGTGCTAACATGTGGTCTGTCCTAGAAAGTGTTCCATATGCACTTGGAAGGAATGCATATATCTTGCTGCTTTGGGGTGAAATGCTCTGAAAATATCAATTAAGTTCATCTGGTCTAGTGTATCATGTAAGGCTGCTGATATCTTGATTATTTTGTCTGGAAGATTTATCCATTGCTGTCAATGGGGTGCTAACATTTCCAGTGAAGACTGCATTACTGTTGACCTGCCCCTTAATAATGTTTTCTTGAATGCAATCATTTTGCCTGCTGGTTTACTCTAAGGAAGTAAGAACAAATGGCTTTTTTTATAAAAAATATGTTTTTATTAATTTTAGAGAAAGAGGAAGGGAGAGAGAGAGAAAGAGAGGCAGAGGGAAACATCAATGTGAGAGAAAAACATTGATCGACTGCCTCCTGCACACCCCCTACTGGGGATTGAGTGTACAACCTGGACATGTGCTCTGACTGGGAATCGAACCAGCGACCTTTTGGTGCATGGGCTGATGCTTATCCAACTGAGCCACACCTGCCAGGGCAGGACAACTGGCTTTAATTAAACGAAGACAATGTTTACTAATTTAAAATATCCATCGAACTTGCTGCAATACTGATCCTCCCAAGTAGTAGCTATCTTTTGTTCTTTAATGTACCCGAGCTGCTTTCCTAAGTTGCTTGTGTTTTTGCTGAGTTATGAACTTGGCGCTGTGAGATGATGAGATCACATGCTTTCTCATCAAGTGTTTACAGTATTAGTTCATATTAGGTCTTACATAACTCAGATGTGGTTTCCTAATATTAGTCTGGTGGTCATAAATGCAGAATATCTAGTATCTTGCCTTTCTCCTTGCCTAGGAGTTTGTGGTTCAGGAAGAGGAGTCAGAGATGTGGATGAAAACTCCACGTTAAAATAAGTCTCTTTTTTGTTGGAAATTGACCACAACTGCCCGTTGTTCCAGCTATTTTTCTCTCACTCAATACTAAGCCTGTTCTTCAGCCTTACTAAAGTCTCCTGTTCCTTTTTGCCTGTATTTTCTCCCATTTCGTCAGTCCTCTACTTTACTTCTATCCTGACCAGGCCTGATGATCCATCACTTCAAAGCCCCCACCCCCTGCCGCTGTATCCCCCATATTCTTTAATTTAGTTGTCGTCTTACCCTTGTTGATTCTGGCTTGAACTTTCTACTCTCTGGACTGCTGAGCACAGCTAGAAAAACAGCATAATCTTACTTTGCAGCCTCTCTGAGCTCTTAGTGCAGCCTACTTGAGTTCTGTAACCTTTCTTTGGTTAGCTCTTCAGTGAAAAATCCTGTCATTCTCCTCATTTTGCACACTTGCCTTCTGTTTTACAAAGGAAATTTAGGATGGTAGGTGTTAATTTCCTTCAGCTTCTCTGTGCTCCACACATCCTTGCTTTCTTTCCTCTCTCCTCAGAGCATGAAGCATTCCTCCTCCTCCTCTGGTCATATGTCTCAGTCTGGGCCCTGGAACTCATCTTCTTTAGTCTTCTCCTCTGTGTTGATCCACCCTTTGTTTCTATTCTCTTCCCTTCCCTTCCATTCCTTATATTTTAAAACCTTTCCTGACCTACTGATTACAAACCTGCATAAATCTATGTCATCTTAAAATAGTAAATAACTCAAGTATCCTATTTTAAAAAAAGTGTTTTTATTGATTTTATAGAGAGAGGGGAGAAGGGAGGGGGAGAGAGAGAGACACATTGATGAGAGAGAAACATTGATCAGCTGCCTCCTGCATGCCCTCTACTGGGGATCGAGCCAACAACCCAGGCATGGGACCTGACCGAGAATCAAGCCAGCAGCAACCTTTTGGTGCATCGGACAATGCCCAGCCAACTGAGCCACACTGGCCAGGCACTCACCTTTTTAGTGCCAACTCAAATGGTATTTTCTGCCCTGCCTAACCCATAAATTTGATCGCTCCCTTTTCTGTATCCACACAACTCTTTATATTCTTATATAAGGCCTATCATAATGTATTATCTGTTTATACCTCTATCTTTCCCTTTAGACTCATGATTCTTCAGAGATACATAGTATGACTTAAGCATCTCTGTGCCATGATACTTAGGTGGCATATTAGAGCAAGATACCAAAATGAGTTTTAATTTTACTATTTTATTTATCACTTCTTTTGGTTTATACACTAGTATACTTTTTCAACTTCTTAATACTTATGCCTGTCAAACATTCTTTTCCTTTGTTTAGTACAGTTCGTTCAGCTTACAAGAGACTTAGAGCACCTACTGTGTGCTAGGTGCTGTGTTAGGCATGGGCAGTGCAAAAATGAATAAGGTTCATCCCTGCTCGAAAGGAGCTCACTGTGGAGGGAAGAAAAGTAAACAGACGACCTACCACCATTTCTACTAAGTAAACAGTGTGAAAGATGTAGGGATAATGGGAAGCCCAGAGTGCTTTGGGGGGTTACATAAGAAGTATAGTTCCCCCAGTTGGTTGAAGTCGGAGAAGGTTCCTGAGCACACTGCATTCTGGGTTGAATCTTGAGAAAGGAAAGAAGCAGAAGGGGAGCAGCAGGGAAGGGTGTGAGAGAACAAACTGTTCTTGGGAAACTGTTTAACATGCCTGGGTTGGGCTGGAAGCAGAGAAGAAGCGAGTTTAGTCTAAATCTGTAGACAGGGACAGACTGGGAAGAACCTCATGGCATATTGACAAGCTTTGAATTTTTCCCTGAATGTAGTAAAGAGCCACTGAAGAATTTTAAGCACGTTTTCATCAGATTTATGTTTTTAATGTTTTGTAGCTTGTACTTTTTCCTTTTTCAGATATTGTCACATTCATTCTCTCTCTCTTGTTTGTAAGTGCTCTTTTGAATTTTTCCTTTGTTCTTTTGTACTGTTGTTGAACACTTAATGTCAGCTATAACTTCTTATCTGTAACCTCCTGCAAGAAGGAAGGATTAGATAGATATGCTCTACCATTTCCCCAATATTCTGTTTAAGTTACTCTTGAATTTTGAGTTGTCTTTCTCTCTTAGTGAACTATTCCAAATTTGTTTCTGTGTCGTATTTACCAATGAACTCTTGTCTGGTGGAGTACATAAAGGATACTACAATAAGTAATAAAAAATACCTGCCAAGCTAGAAGTCTAGCATCCCTTTGGAAATTTATTAAAAAGGGACATGAAATTCCTGGTAAGCCATAAAAGGTTAATTCCATGAATGACTTTGTTTAAATAGTGCTTCATGTGAGACCTTAAATTGATTTGCTTTTTAAGATAATTTAAAAATAGGCAGACCTTTGCAAATTAAACTGGAAATTTGAGATTTCTGTCACATCTGCCTCAAAGTTATTATTGTCACTGAGCAAAATTTACCACTAGTCATGTGAAATCTAGCTACTTTCTTGGGCTTAATTTTCCTCATCAAAATAATGCAGGGCTTGTTTTAGAAGATTTCTAAAGCTTTTTATTTTACGATTTTTATATCCTACATCTAATAATTTTTTCTAAATTATCTTTCACATAGCGCTCACATGGTCTTCTGAAAGAAGCCATGGGTAGCTGTTGTAGCTGTCCAGATAAAGACACTGTCCCAGATAACCATCGGAACAAGTTTAAGGTCAGTAAAACTGCTCGAATTATATCTCTTATTGCCTATTTGGATATTCTTTTCCTTCCCTTAATATATCTTTTTCGCTTTTATCTTCAGACCCTTTATTTTCCTTCTTGTTCACTCTGCCTTTTCTTGTTTTACCAAATGATGATGACATTTTCTCACTGACCATGTGGAATCCTTTTTTACTTTCCCTTTGGTCCCCTGTATTCAGTTAGCCACATAGTTCTGATATTACTTTCTTTAGAATGCCATTTTATAGTTCCTCTTTAATGCTGTCACCACCTCCAGTCATTGATTCATGGCTGGATAATTTCTTAACTGGACTCTACCTTGAGTCACCATTGTGATCTGTCCTGCAGTTGGCATCAAATTAATCTTCTTCTTTCATCATTCTGAAATTTTGTGGTGTTCTGTTACCTAGAGGCTAAATGCTCCATTCCTTACTCATCCACAGCTCTTTAGTGTCTCTTGTAGTCTGCCCTCAGTCTGCTATAAATCACAGCCTTTGGATCATACAAACTTAGGCATAGGTTACAACCCTCTGCTTCATAGCTTTGTGACCTTGGACAGGTTACACTGTCACTAAGTTTTGTTTGATTTTTGTAAGATGGAGAAGACAGTATTACCTGCAGTTTAGGAGTGTTATATGGATTAAATGGGATAAATACATGTATAACACTTTGCCCAGTTCCAGGAGTATAGGAAGTTCTCCCTAAGCAATATCTATTCTTCATAGTCTCTGGCCATTTTCTGAAACTCAGTAGTATAAGGCCTTATCTTAACATGAATTTACCTCCCCAGTGGGAGTGGGAGTTCCTTGCAGATATGAAATAGGCATTATACTGCTACATAGTCCTACATACACATTGGTTGATGAATGAACTAACAAAGAAATGACTAACTGGACCAATCACCAACAACATATTTTCCTGACAAATCAGTGAAATGAGAGTATGACTGGCAAGTGGAAGCATTAGGTTAGCATTAATTCAACTTTCTTTTTTAGGTCATTAATGTGGATGATGATGGGAATGAGTTAGGTTCTGGCATAATGGAACTTACAGACACAGAACTGATTTTATATACTCGCAAACGTGACTCGGTAAAATGGCACTACCTCTGCCTGCGACGCTATGGCTATGATTCGAATCTCTTCTCTTTTGAAAGTGGTCGACGGTGTCAAACTGGACAAGGTAGATAGAGCTTTTAATTTTTTTCCTGCAAACCTGGGTCAAATTTGAAATACTATTCTTTCAATCATTCTATATGCAATGTTTGACATTTTACTTTCTCCTGATAGAAAAAAATTACCAAAATAATTGCCTTGTTAAGAAAAGAGATATAGTAAACTATGTATTTATTTAGCAAGCACTTATTAATCACATTCTCTATATCCAGAATTTTGACTCATGTTAGCTTTAAGATTTTCAGTAAATGATTAGTCCCAGTAAACTGACTGTGTGTTTTACTGTTGTAACTTGTTGGGGAAAGAACCTAAATTTTGGAGTCAAACAGTGCATAGTTTGATTATTTTGCTACCTACAGTTTGAAAGGCCTTGGGCAAGTTACCTCTGTTTTTCTCTATCAGAGGTGAATGATAATCCTTGCTTTACAGAACTATTATAATAATTAAACATGATCAGAACCAGGGCCTGTCAGATGGTAAAGGATCACCTTGGTAATGGTGAGTTGGGCTCCCCCTGCTGTTAAAAAGCAAACTGAAGGAAGTGTACAAATCTTGTCTTTGTCTGCCTTATTTTGGGCCATCTCCCTGAGCTCAGCTCCAGGGTTTGCTGCTTAGAACTTACCTAATGGATATCCCCGATATTCCTCATTTGGAGATGCTTCATCAAGTGAAAATTATTAGACAAATGAAAATTATTTTGTGAACTTTCTTTTGAGTTTATGTTTTGAAACTGCGAATATCATTAATTTATCAGACATTTATTAAAAAGCCTTTCTTGCTATTGGTACACAGAATGCTTATTTTACAATTTTATTCTTTGACAGGTGCTCCTGTATCTTTTTTAAAGATGTGGTAACTATTGTTCCGTTATGGTTTATATTCATAGGAATCTTTGCCTTTAAGTGTTCCCGTGCAGAAGAATTATTTAACATGTTGCAAGAGATTATGCAAAATAATAGTATAAATGTCGTGGAAGAGCCAGTTGTTGAAAGGAGTAATCATCAGACAGAATTGGAAGTCCCCAGAACACCTCGAACACCTACAAGTAAGTACCCATTTTTCTTGTATTACAGATGTCTTCTATTCCCCCCCCCAGCTCTTGCCCCACACTATTGTCTGTATCCATGGGCTATGCATATAAGTTCTTTGGTTAGTTTCTTCCTGTCCCATCAC